TGAAGTTTTCTTTCAGGCTCATGAGAAATCAGTCAGTGTTCCTGGGTCTCTCCTCCGTCTTTTCAAATCTCATTTGAAAAATATTGATGAAGAGCTGTTGTAATGAGCTGTGGCCTTGGTCATCATTTTAGATACTTTATTTTCATGACAGGAAAATATATTGCCTTGGGAAAACAAACAAACAAATCCAGATAGCTTTAGAAATGAATTGTCAAACTTTCTGGAAGTGTTCTCAGAAGAAGCTGTGGTAATTCTGTGGTAGCACTGTTGTCTGTCAGCTTGGTGGCAATTTTTCACCTATTAATAAGAGAACTTTCCAGAAGATTAACAAGGTCCTGAAAGACATTTTAGAAGGCCAAGTATACTCAGGATGTGAAGAAAGGGGCCAAAAACAAAAGCAACTGGTGAATGAGAAGGAATTTATTTCATGCTTCGTGGGGTTTGGACTAATAAATTCTTTACTGCTAGTTAAATGCACGGATAGGGGAATGATCTGTGCTGTGCCTGAATGTGAGAAAAGTGCAAATTAGTATCATAGAATAATAGCTGAAGAAAATAACATCGCAACAAAAATGTATTGTGGAGACTATTAAGTGTGTGACTCAGTAATGAGAAAACAGTGTCACACACGTGCCATGATACAACCTTCCCCTGCCGTCAATGAAGTTTTACATGGAAGACCAAGCTTTTCTTCTTGGGAGGGTTTTGATCCTAAGGCTGTCTCCTGCTCTGTCATTTCCTGTCCTCCTCCTGCTTCATGCTCATGTAGTATCCTGTATTGAAATTTGTCAATCATCTTTGAAATGACAATTCTTTCAGCATGCCTTCTCCAGCACTACCTCCAACTCTTTGGTCTTCTCTCAGATGTAGCCCCACGCATGGAGGAAAAATAATAACTCTGGGAAGTGACAATAAATGTAATATGGATAGCATAACTTTTAGTGAAGATTTTTTTTTCACATACTAGTTTCTCTGAGAAGGAAGATTTTGTTTCAGTGAAAGACAACCTGGATATTTCTTATGAAATTAATCATTTACAGGTTTTTCTGCTTGGTCATGCTAACAAAACAATTTATCTTTCTTTTTGTTAAAAGGATATGTAGAAGACTAGCATGATAAGGAAAAAACTGGGAATTAATGTTTCCTTCCTTCCTTTCTACCTTCCTTCCTTCCTTCCTTCCTTTTTCCCTCCCTCCCTCCCTCCCATATATGCTAGGCAAGTGCTCTTCTTTAAAATCTACCTAGCACAAAGAACTACCTGGTTGATTACTACGGTCAGGTGTTATTCACCAAAATGATGTTCTGTTTCCAAGCATGAGGTGTGAGTTGTGTTTTCTCCATGACTCAGGACAAAGACTAAGCGAGTGGGGACAGAGGTATGACCCCCTGGCATCTTCTCACCCCTTCCACCCCCAGTAAAGCAAAGCCTTTGCAGTTCCCAGAGTGGGAGGGAGCTCTCTGTAGGAGATGGGCGTTCTCTTGATGTTCAGCTATCTGAGTGGGTGAGTGAAGAGAAAGTGGGACATCTGTTAACTGGTGAATAATTTGTTCTTGATAGAGGAATGCACTGTTAAATCAGATTTTGTAATCTTGGCTTCTTGTCCTGTCTTGACTAGTGAAGAGAAGGGCTTATAGTAGATTGTACTGAAAATATTAATTTGTGTAGAGCATACAGAACCAGAAAATGTCATTTTAGCTATTTGGGTAAAACACTGCAGCTGAAATTATTAACTCATAGGAAAGTTTTGTACCATGTTACTAGAACAATATGGTCAGAAAAGGTAGAAGATACACATTATTTGTCTCAGTTATGATCAATAAATGTCAGTTGCTGCTACCAGTCAGGTACCACGCCAGGAACTCACAAGTCACTTTAGGAGTGACCTCAGCATATAAAATGTAAGGGTCGGCTGGGTGCAGCGGCTTATGCCTATAATCTCAGCTACCTAGGAGGCTGAGCCAAGACGATTGCTTGAGCCCCCGGAGTTCAACAACAACCTGAGCAAAATACTGAAACTTTGCCATTAAAAAAAAAAAAAAAAGAGGTGAAGATAGGAGGTTATGGTTCAAGTCCAGTCCTGTCCAAAAAAAAAAAAAAAAAAAAAGTTAGCAAGGTGTGTCTCAAAAAATAAGTGGGTGTATGGCTCACATCTGTAATCCCAGCTACCTGGGAGACAGAGGTAGAAGGATCATGGTCCGAGGCTAGCCCAGGCAATAGCTTGGGGCCTTGTCTGAGAAATAAGGTAAGAGCAAGCAGGACTGGGGTTGTGGCTCACATGGTGGAACTCAACCTAGCAAGTCCAAGGCCTTGAGTTCAAACCCCAGTACCACCACCAAAAAAAGGTCTACTAGATAGTGACAGTAATAATCAGGGGAACTGTAAAATTATACAGTGATTCATTTGATTTCTCAAAAAGCATTTTTGATTCCCTTTTAGAAGAAGTGCCTCTAAAGGAATATGATGAAAATAAGCAATTCCAAATTACGAACAACAATAAGCATATTAAACAATGTCTGATTGTCTGTGTCACGTTCCAAAATGAAGACTGATTCTCTAGAATGTTGAATAACTTTTCTAGTCAGAGACTTAGTGTCTGATGACTTGAATAGGGAACTTCTCTTATGGTAGAGCTCCTTTTTTTTTCTTTGCAGCTGATGGTTGTTTGTGGTTTTTGTTTTTGTTTTTTATTTTACCCATAAGCCTACTATTTTATTTTTTATAATTGTTGTACTGGGGGTAAACTGTGACATTGACAAAAGTTCTTATAATGTATCATGGTTGAATTCATCCCCTCCATCATTCTCCTTTGTCCCTCCTCCCCCATTCCTGGAACAGTCTACCACATTCACCCTTCTACAGCCTTTCCTTACATCCCTCCTACTCTCACTGATACCAACCCCCCGCCCCAGATAAGACCTGCTTTACCTTTCTATTCTCTTGTTATTGAAAAAAAAAGACTTTTGTTTTATACAGGATGTTGCATTGTGACACTTCCACGCATACATGTATTATAACCCTAATTGATTCATCTCCTCTATTTTTCTCCTTTGTACCTTAGTCTCCTTATGGTGATTTCAACAGGCTTAAAAATTCTACATTCATTCTTGCATAGAAAATAAATAAGTCATATTTACCTTCTTCCTTCTTTTACCTTTCTCTCCTGTTAGTGATCTCACCTTAGCATGGCCTGTTTTTCATAATATTGCTTGTGTTTGCATGGGGCCTGTATTCCACATATGAGAGGAAGCATGCAGCCTTTGGCTTTCTGGACCTGCTAACTTCAATTAAGATGATGCTCTCCAATTCCATCCATTTACCTGCAAATGACAAAATTTCATTCTTCATGACTGAATAAAGGAGCATATTAAGTTTTTTAATGTGACAGCTCTTACAAAAATATCTGATTTGTTTTATAATTTAGATGATTCAAATATTTATAACAGAAAACATCATTGAGTATATTAAGCAGTATCTAAAAATAAAAAAAGTAAAGACATGAACTTTTTTCTACAGAATTAAAATTATACTATGCTGTTTCAAATGTCACCAGAAAGCAAGCATTTCAGAAATAATATTGACTGTGTGTGTTTTTTGTTTGTTTGTTTTGCAGCATGGGGGATAGAATCTTAGGCCTTGCAAATACTAGGCAAGCGCTCTGCCTGTGAGTTACATCTCCACGCCTGTAAATGTTCTTTACAAAGAAAATATTATATTCTGTAATCTTTGAAGATCCAGTTCCAGTAAATTAGAGAAACTCCACTAAGCTAATACCCTCCCAATACTCTGCCTGTTTACAATGTCTGTCACCATAAACTACCTCCTCCACCTCATGGGACTGTAATTTCTGGATCTTGAGATTCTTCACTGCTGTTATCCTCTTTTGCCAAGATAAAGTGAAGTCTCTAAAGAACCTAGTAGAGAGACTTTTCTCAGAGTTGTGCAGAAATACTTTTCTGAATAGTTTGGACCCGGTACTCATCCCAGATGCTCGAAGATAAAAATCAGTCCAGACAAAGAGACTGTACAAAGGCAAATGTTAATAGTGAGTTGAAGAGAATTTTGAAAATTGGGTCTTTGTGTTCTAAAGCTTTATTCACCAAAGAAATTGGGCAACAATTAAAGAGAAAAGAAAAAAAATCCTAGAAAATTACAGGAAAGGCCTTGTAAGCCCTACCAGAGGAAGACACTGGAACAAAATGAATACAGAATTAATGGCCTTCTAAGGGAAACGTGTGAATTTTTTTGGTCAATATGTCCATTTGAAACTTGTCTTAAAACCTATTTCCCAAGTCAGACATAGTGCCGCATGTCTATAATCCCAGAACTCTGGAGGCTGAGGCAGGAGGATTGTGAGACAACAGCAAGACTGTGTCTTAAAAAACAAAACACAACTATTTCCCAACATTTTATTTGAAAATGTTTAGCCAGAAGAGTAGAAAGAATCATACCATGGATACCTAGCCTTCCACCTAGGTTCTGTAACATTGTACTGTTTTCTTCATGTCTGTCTGTCTGTCCATCTCTCTGTTCACCCAGCTTCTTTTCTGTTGCATTTCATAATGAGTTGAAAGCATAAGGAGACACATCACTTCTAAAAATTCCAGCATGGGTCTCAATAGTTATTCTTTTTGTTATTTGAGGTAAAATTCACATCTAACAAAACCCCCAAACCTTAGCTGTTCTCATTCTGTGATATGTTTTTTTATTCACAACTACATGTGCACAGGAAACGCAAACATTTACCAAGATCTAGAAATACTTCAAACTCCAGAAAGTGTCCTGTGTCTCTTGCAGTCTCTACCCCTGCCAGCAGAGTCCCCAGTTTTTCTGATGACATTTTGCTTATCCTAGGATTTCCTGTTACTGAAACTGGAACCATTCTGGGCGTCCTGCTTTGTGACTGACTTCCTTGTCAAGAGATTTACTTTTATGAACTCTTTTGGATTTGCCTATGAGGTGGTTGGTTGGCTCAGCTGATTTGGTGACTTTTTACTTTCAGGCCTATTCCCTGCCATTCTCAATCTGGCCAGCAGTGCTCACATCAGCACCAATGCCACCTGTGGTGAGAGGGGACCTGAGATGTTCTGCAAACTCGTGGAGCACGTGCCTGGCCGACCTGCACGGAACGCACAGTGCCGGGTCTGTGATGGCAACAGTGCGAACCCCAGAGGCAAGTGCACCTCGCCCTGTTCTCAGCAAAACATCTGTTTCTGGGCACTTTTAGTTTTATTTTATCTATTTATTGTTCATTTGCTTATTGCATGCATGCCAGGCACTGAGCCCAAGGTAACCTGTGTGCTATACTCCCAGCCCTACTCCTGGGGATTTATCCTCTGAAATAACTAAAGATGTCTGTCAGGAGGCCATGAGCCCGTGTTCACCTTGACTGCTGTTCATTTGCACTGAATTCAAGAATTTAAAGCCTTAACTGAGAGGAATGCATGTTTTCTTTTTCTTTTAATAGAACGCCACCCAATATCAAATGCGATTGATGGCACCAATAACTGGTGGCAAAGTCCCAGTATTCAAAATGGACGAGAGTATCACTGGGTCACCATCACTCTGGACTTGAGACAGGTAGGTCAAGCCTCATCCTCTGGAGTGACCCATAGTCTTCTAATGACTCTTGGGACACCTGGCTGTTTATATTCCACGCTCACTCTGTTCCACTAGGTGAAGTAAGTGACACACCAAGTAGTCCACGAAGCCATTTCTTATCTCTCCTTCCCCATGTCTTCAAGGGGATGAGTGACGTTGCTTCTGTGTGGTTGATGCTCTTTGCACTTGTGCAGCAGGGTGTGCTCGTAGCTCAGGATGCTATACTAGGCCATGTGCTAGAAGCTTTGGGGAAGAACAGAGATGCCCTGGGGAGTGGACAGGGGTAAAATGCCCAGCCTTACTGCCTTGCTGTTGTCATCATGATAGTTGTCATATAAGGGCTGTCTAAGGCTGGGGACACCAAAGGTGATAGTGCTGACCTCTTGATCATGTCTCACTCCTGCTGTGGATGCTGCCAGGGCTGTTTGCAGCAGGAAAAGCCAGGTAGAACTGCCTCTGACCACTCGTGTCCTCCTAACTGAACTCAAGCCCATAGAGGAGAAATATGACAGGGGCCCTGCTCCCCCAATATTTTGGGTTAAGGAAAAGAAGAGTGTGCGGAAGGAAAGAAAGAGAGAGATGGCACATATTTTGAAACTGTTATCCCAACTTCTGATTGGAGTTCTCAGGAAAGCCATTTCACGAGATGATTACTTGCATTCTTTCAGTTCCTCTTGCATTGGAACTCGTAGACTTCATGGAACACAGATTGGTTGGAAGAGACGGATGAATCAGGTGTGCACTGTAGGATTGAAGTGGGAGTTTTAGCGATTTAGAGGTAAATAATCAGATTACTTTGAATAGGTGATAGTTGTTAATTCTAAGTGGAAAACAGGGTGATGCTGTGGCTATTCATGTGCAAGGAGCTTCCGAGCTCTAAAAATTGTAGTGAATATAGTAGCAAAATTGGAAGCTCATAAGACGTTTTCCAAGCTTAGGTTAACAGGTTTATGGAAGTAAAATAACACTTTTAATAGCTTTCAGCCATAGCATTTGAATTAATATGATATACCTTAATATTTTCAAATCCCTCTAAAAGAAAAAAGAGCCCCCTTAGTTGTCTTGACCTTTGTTTTTCTCTCAAACAAAAAGAGAAAGAATGGTGGTAAGAGTGGTTCATTCATGAAAGGCCCATTTCCTTTCTAATTTTCTGTTCTTTTTCTAAAGGAAGTATACTCCAGCTCATTATTGAGCATGCTATAGTGTGAGTGAATGGGGATAAGTGTCTCCCAGAGGCCCCTGTGTTAGAGGCTTGTTCCCCAGGGTGGTGAAACTTTTAAAAGGTGGGGCCTAATGGAAGGAGTTAGGTCATTGGGGGATGCCCTTGAAGGGATCATGAAAGGTCATGAAGGCTTTGGTCTCAGGTATCTTGTCACAGAGACAGAAAGCTATCACAATGAGCTTGGCTAAATTAAGAACTGGATGTTTTACATACAGACCTCAGACCCATGCTGGAGTGTCTGTCTTGACATTGGTTCTGCTTGACTTCCTCCTGAGGGAATCCCCTTTGCTTTGATTTGGATGCAGCCAGCATGAGAAATTGAAGGGAGCATCTCTGTTAGATCTTTAAGGCATATTTCAAAAACAAGGATGGCTGCATTGTGACAAACCTCTTTGGGTAATTTCCAACATGGGGAGTAAGCTTCTAAAAGAACATAATTGGTACTCAGAATTTCTGTACCTTTTTACACAGTACAAAAATTCCACTGTGCTTGATATGGGCAACCTTTCTCAGGTTTATTTATTTAGTGAACCTTTTAATTATGAGTATTTTTTAATATGTAGAAAGCTTATTCCAGTGAACGTCCATATACCCCACAATTGAGATCCAGGGATTTTTAAGCCTTGTGCCATGTTTAACGTTGCAATCATGAGAACATGTCACCAGCACTTCCATTTGTCTATTCAAATAAAGACATTTGTTCTGAATACCCACTATGCTTTCATCCCCTTAAGAAAACTAACAGTAATTTCCTAATAACTGCTTATCCATCCAGTTTTTCTACTCCTGTCTTCTATAGCTGTTTTCTTTCAAGCCAAGACTCATTTTCATTTCATAGCTATGCTCCTTAACCTCTTCTTATCTCTGAATTGTTTTAAATGAGGTTGAATCTTTGACTAGATCAGGCTGTTTGTTGTGCAGAGCACCCATGTTCTGGTTTTGCTGGATGATCTCAGGTAGTTTTACCTAAGATGTTCCTCAACACCTGTATTTCTTACCAACTGAATACACCTCCGATACCCAATTAATTTCCATTAAATATTTTGGCACAATAGCACTATGGGAGATGGTGGCTTGCTGCTTTTTTCCTGGCCTTAGCAGGCACCCTGGGTCAGGGGATGAGGCAAGGCTTCCTGTCTGGGAGCTGTCTATAGTCTCGTCCCATAATTATCTTCTGTTGCTCCCAAGTCTCTCCTGTTTCTGAGACCTTGCTGATGCTTCAATCTGGAGCATCTGTTGAGATGGGGTCTTGAACTTTTCTGCCTGGGATGGCCTGGAACCACGATCTTCCCAATCTCAGCCTCCTGCCTAGCTAGGATGACAGGAATGGCTTGCTGTCTCCTGCATTGACACCTTTCAGGCAGGGAGCAAATAACCATCAGGTGAACCAATGCTTTTTTTTCTTCTTTTTTTTTTTACTTCTTTTGCTCAAAGCCTGATTAAAATGTAGCAATGAACAAACAAGCCTTTGATTCCTTTGTTTCAGTCCTGTAAAAACAACATCTAAAGCACAGATTTCTAGAGCAGAGTCATTGATAGACCTTAATATTACCAGGAGTTGCAAAACTTGTGCCTATGTTCATGTAACTTAGCAAAGATGCCATCCCTGAGGTTTTATTACAAGTTAGCTTTGATCATGTTGTCACCAATCTTATTCTAAGGACACCGATCTCATTCTTGGTTCTCTAGTTGATGACAGCTGTTAAAATCACAGTGGCTTTAGTTTCTTTGTACAATGTTTGGTTATCTGGAGAATAAATTAAAGATAAAAAGGAATGTCAGAAAGTCTGTAAATGTATGATTTGCAGTAAGGTTTAACTACAGAGTATTTGTTTTAGTAACATTGCAAGAGGAATGATTGCATTTATTTCTTTACTTTTTAGAAATAACCCTGGCTATTCATTTCTTTTCTTGATTTCGTGATCGTTTAGAAGCTACCTTAGTGTTTAGTAATATCTTACATTAAAAAAATCATGAGAGTTAGGTGTGATGGCATATGCCTAGAATCCCAGTACTTGGGAGGCTGATGTACAAGGATCACAGGTTTGAGACCAACCTGGGCTACATAGTAAGACCCTGTCTCAAAAAAGTTTATGAGAATTAAATGTACACGGTATTCTTGTTTTAAGTAAAATAAAGCTGAGTAAAGTGTAACAAATGGAAGAGTGACATTTATACAGTGGCTTGCATTATTAAAATGCTGTTCACGGTCCAGCATGGGGGAGGCTGTTCCTTAGCCTTGACACTGAACTGACTTCATGATTTTTCCTGATGACTTTCCTGATGACTTGGAGTTGAAAGGAAGTCATTCTGAGGCACGTGGACTTTGAATTTCACGATGATCAACATTGTTTTAGGCCTCACTGCTTGCATCAAATGCTACTCCTAGGGTAGCATTATTTCATTAGAAGAATAGAAGTATTTCCAGTTTGAGAAACACCACACTGAAAGTTAATGAACAGATATTGGACATCATTACCCATTAGGGAAGAAAATCAGAACCGTAATGACACACCACTTCATGCCCGCTGGGATGGCTGTTCTGAAAGAAATGGAAAATACCAAGTGTTGGCGAGAGTGAGGAGAGATTGGAGCCCCAGTGTGCCACTGGGGGATGTAAAACGGAGTGGCCACTGCGACAGACAATGGGAGGTGCCTCAGAAATTTCATAAAGAGTGATGGCACCATGATCTGCCTGAGGGAGCGTGAGCCAGCACGCAGTAGGCACACCTGCACACCCATGATTATTGCAGCACCGGTCACCACAGCCAGGCTGTGGAATCAGCCCAGGTGCCATCAACAGATGAATGGATAAAGGAAATTGGGATACATACCCACTGGAGTACTATTGTCACGTAGAAGAGTGGATTACATTGGAAATGACGGATGGAACTAGAGATCAATCATGTTACGTGAAGGAAGCCAGACTCAAAAAGACAAAAATCATGTTTTCCCTCACATACAAAATCTGGATCTAAAAACAAAAGGACGGGAACATAAAATGGGGGATATTTAGAGGGGAAGCAACCGGGAATGGGAGAGTATGAGAGGATAATGTGGCCGAAATACATTGTATGCAAGCTTGAAAAGGACATAAAGACACCCATTTTAAAGATTTGTGGTTGGGGTATAATGGCTCATGACCGTATCCTAACTACTAGGAGATGGAGATGGGGAGGATCAAGGCCAGCACCAGAAGAAAGTTAGTGAAACTGTATCTCCACAAATAAGCCAGGCACTGTAGCTGATGCCTGCAATTCCAGCTATGCAGAAGGTGTAGGTAGGAGGAACATGGTCTGAGGCCTCCCCAGGCAAAAGCATGAGACCTTATCTGAACAATAGCAAGTAAAAAAGAGCAGGGGGCAAAGTGGGAGGGTGCCTGCCTTAGAAGCACAAGGCCCTTAGTTCAAACTCCCAATACTGCCAAAAAATTGTAAGAAAGTTTAAAACTGGGGGACTTGGGGAAGGAGGATAAGAAAGAGTAATAAAAGGAGTAGATATGAACCAAGTTCATTGTATATAAGTGTGGAAATACCACAGTGAAACCCTCACTTTAAACAACTGAGGTATACTGATAAAAATGATTTTTAAAAAAGAATGACCATATGACCCGGAAATTCCATTCCTAGGTATGTACCCCAAATCTGAAAAAATTCTTGAACACTACTCTTCATAGCAGCATTCTTTTTTTTTTAAATTTTTTTATTATTCATATGTGCATACAATGCTTGGGTCATTTCTCCCCCCTGCCCCCACC